GTTAGCAACTTACCATTGCTGAGGCTGGCTTTGAACTCGGAATCCTCCTGTCTCAGCTTCCTGAGCCACTGGGATTACAGGCAAGTGCCACCGTGCCTGGAAGCAATTCCGCCCCCCCCCCCCCCCCCCTTTGAATCATTTGAAGTAAATTGCTGGCAGGCTAGTTAGCATTTTTTTTTTTTTTTAAATTTATGGTACTATGGATCAAACTCAAAGGCTCTCTATCACTAAGTCACATCCCCTTTATTATTTTTTGAGACAGTCTTGCTAAACTGTTGAGGCTGGCCTTAAACTTGAGATCCTCCTGTCTCAGCCTCCCAAGTAGCTGGCCTTACAGTATGTGCCACCAAGTTTGGCTCTAGTTTGAATTTTTTTTAAAGTTGGTGTTATTTTATTTGGGCCTTTATTTTGTTCATTTATATGTGGTGCCGAGAACTGAACCCAGTGCCTCACACATGCTAGGCAAGCGCTCTACCACTGAGCCTCAACCCTAGCCCTAGTTTGTATTTTGATAAGTCTAGTGGTCTGTTATTTGCATATGTAACATGTGACCAAAGTAGATCAATGGAACAGATTATGGAATCTTGGAATGAGCTGATGAAGATTCAGGAGGAAAAGACTGGTTTTCTTTAGACCTGGGTGGGTCCTAGATGAGAGGTCCAGGCACCCTCTCTTCCCTTGCTGACCGTTCTGGACCCGGTTCTCCTCACTCCCTTGGAGTCTGTGAGTTCCCGCATTCGGTTCATGACGTTTCAGAATCTACTGCTGTTGCTGCAGCCCAAGGACCCTGACTGCAGGCTCCCTTGAGAAGTGAGCTCTGTTCTGGGGGGCAGACAAGCAGGGTTCTCACAGGGTCAGGAGGTCTTGGGCAGAAGGTCTTTGTGTTTGGAGAGCTGCAACTCCTGATCCCATCTGCTTGAGCTTCTGATCCTGTCCTCAGGGTTCACGCTTCCAGTTCTCAAGTCAAGCCATTTTTCTTTGGAGCAATTTTAGAATTTAAAGCTATTCTTGCTTCTTATTGAAAGTTCTCAACCAGGGCTGGGGTTGTGGCTCAATGGTACCGTGCTTGCCTAGCATAGGAGAGGCACTGGGTTCGATCCTCAGCACCAACATAAAAATAAATAAATAATTAAAACAAAGGTATTGTGTCCATGTTCAACCAAAAATATTAAAAAAAAAAATTTTTAAAAACAGTTCTACAAAAGTCTATGCTTGGGCCTGGGGTTGTGGCTCAGTGGTGCAGCACTTGCCTAGAATGTGCGAGGCACTGGGTTTGATCCTCAGGACCACAAATAAATAAATAAAGGTATTGTGTCCATCTACAACTAAATATTTACATATGCATACACACACACATATATTTAAAAAAATCCATGTTTACAGAGTGTTTCAATCATCTATTGCTGCATTACAAACCAGTGTAGAGTTTCATGACTGAAAGAACGACCACTTATTTTTAAAATCTCCCATGACTCTGCGGGTTGACAGGGCTCAGTGGGGTGGTTCTTCTGTTGAGGTCCAGTGGGATCTGCAGATCAGCTTGTAGCTACCTGAGGCCTGGAAGGACTGAAATATGCAAGATGGCTCACTCAGGGGGCTGGCACTCGCTACTGGCTCTTGCCTGGGATCTCAGCGTGGACTGTTACCTGGAGTCCCCCAGTTTTCCTCCGTGTGGGCTCCCTGTGTGGCTTGGGCTTCCCATAGCAGGGAAGCTGGATTCCAAGAGGAAGGAAATGAAAGCTGCCAATGATCTTAAGGCCCAAGCTTAAAGTCCTCCCCATATTACTTCCGCCATTTCCCGATGGGCAATAGTCACAGAGCCGGCCCCAGTTCAAGGAAGGGTACATGAGATCAACCTCTTCATGGAGGAGAGGGGTGGCCCGTGCAGACGGGGAGGAAAGAATGAGGGCAGGTGTCTTTTCTTCACAGACTTCTACCGGAGCCTGTGACTCAGCTGGCTTGGATTTGGGTCTAGAGTAGCATCACTCCGCTGGCACTCAGGAAAGGATCCCCCTAGAAGCTCCACCAAAATCAACACAGGAGTTGCTTCTTCCTGGAATCTTCTCTGACTCTACTTGAGTACATAGTTTTTTACTGTTAATATCAGTTATACTTTCTATGAAAATATAAGTATCTGCTTAACTATGTGTATTTTCTGCACACATATGTAGTGCATTTGAATAGTAAATTGATCTTTTCTTCTTGGGGGGGGGTGGGTACTGGGGATTGAACTCACAGGTGCTTTAGCACTGAGCCACACCCCCAACCCTTTTTAATTGCCTTTTGAGACAGGGTCTCACTAATTTGCCCAGGCTGACCTTGAACTTGCCATCCTCCCGTCCTAACCTCCAAGTCACTGGGGTTACAGGCAAGCACCACCACACCAGGCTCTGTGTAGAGCTGTGTAAGTTCTACCTGAGGAGGCACTGCATCAGATACCTGGATAAAATCAGGGAATGAGTCAGGAGGAAAGGAAATTCTAGACAAAGGGAACAATACGCACAAAGCTCCTGAGGCAGGAGTATGCTAGACACATGCAGAAGTCTGTGTCTGGCCTGGGTGGAAACGGGTAGAGATATATTGTTTGAGATCAAGAAAGCTCAGTGAGGGTCTGGGTTTTATTCCAAAATTTATGGGACGCCACTGGAAGGTGTTCAAGTTGGAGGTGATGTGTCTTAATATATAATTTTACAAAGATCCCTCTGTTACCTAGTGAGAAATGGCTGTAGAGGGCCGACGAGAAAAGCAAAAAGCGTAGAGTGGCTGGGAGGCAGTTTCAGTTGCCCAGGTGAAAGGCCATGTGGGTCTGAAGTCTAGTTTCCATCTCTGCATTCTCTGTACCTAATTCAGTATTTACTTATTACCTGTCATTTGGTAAGAGAGTGAATTCATCCTTGCAGTACATACATACATGCATATTGCACTCCACCACTGAGCTACAACCCCAACACTCAAGGAAAAAAAGAACTTTTATTTGTAGATGGGGTCTTCATAAGTTGCTGAGGCTGGTCTTGAACCTGCCACCTCCTGCCTCAGTCTATCAAATAGCTGGGATTCTAGGCTACTGCCACCAACACCCAGCCATGCAGCAAAGAGCGCCTGAACACCTGGTATTGGTAAGCTCTGCAGGGGGTGTTGAAGGGACATCAGGGAAGGAGACTTTCCCTTCATGGAGCTTTGATTCTTGTGAGGAGAGAAGATATTAAATAACAGGTAAGCACAGATATATGGTTTTCCTAGTGATGAAAGGTACCTTGGAGAGGAACAAATCAGGGAAGAAGGCAGGGGAAAGCTGGGGTGCGAGTGGGCAAGAAGGTAAAATACAGCAATTATGGAAAAGCCTCTCACTGAGGAGTGACATGTGGACAGTGTTCAAGGGGAGAAGAGGGAGTGGGTCATTTAGGTTTTAGGCAGGAAAAACAGCAAGTAAGGTCCTCCTGAGGCTGGAGTGGGTCAAGCATATTGGAGACCCTGGAGGGCTCCCGTTTCCCTGGGTACAGCAGTGGGTGGAAGACAAGTGGCCAAAGAGCTCAGGGGAGGAAAGGGAGTTGAGGGACAGGTTACGTGGTACTTCCGGGGTTACTGCAAGATTATGGAGTAGGAACACAGACAGAGTTGGTTTTTACAGGGTCCTTCTTGATGCTGTATGGAGGACGGACTCCAGGAGGGTTAGGATGGAAAAAGGAGATCGGTGAAGAGGCTGCTGCAATAGTCCGGGGTGGGTGTGGGTGTGGGGGGGTGATGGTGGTGACAGTGGAGCTACCAGATTATTTTATTCACGCTTAAGACATTTCATACTAATTCGGTCAGGCTGTGACTGAGGCTCAGGGTTAGAGCGGTTGCCTAGCATGTGCAAGGCCCTGGGTTCGATCCCTAGCACCACATAAAAATAAACAAAATAAAGGTATTGTGTCCACCTACAACTAAAAATATTAACAAAACAAAACAAAACAAACAAACAAACAAACAACAACAACAACAACAAAAAAAACAACGCTCTCAACAACAAAACATTCCTCCCCAAAATCTCTTTACATAGAAAGATTATTCTGGGTCGAACCGAATCTCATATTGCATTTGGTTTTCACCTGTTTTGTGCTTTGATATTTTTAAATGTCTAGGCTAGTTGTGTCAAACAATGTTCCATATTCCAGATTTGTATGATTATTTTGTATGATTTAAAAATAACATTTAGTTTTTAGTTGGACACCTTTATTTATTTTGATGTGGTGCTGAGGATTGAACCCGGGCCTCGCAGCCGCGCTAGAGGAGTGCTCTACCACTGAGCCCCGGCCCCATGATAATTTTTTACAGTTGGATCAAGGTTTTTTTTTTTTTTTTTTTTAAACTACGCTTCAGAGGTAGGATCATGCTTTCTGGGCCTTCCCTGTTGCATGGTAGCAGGAGACACACACACTGACCGGCTACGGGTGACGCCAGGTTCCCTCTGTCCCTTGGTTGAGGTGGCGTCTGCCTCTCCACGGTAAAGCCAGCCGTTCCCAGTTGTAAATCAGAAACCCTCGGAGGGATACCACTCAGGAACTGAGTATGCTGTGAATATCCTGTTGCCCAACAACCTTCCTCCCAATGGCCCGGCGTCAGACGGGCACCTCTGGGGTTCTGACCTGGTGCCTCGGTTTGCTCATCTGCAAAATGAGGGTCTCCAGGGATGCTGATTCTGAGGACCCGTGTTTTGCATACGACAAACCCTCCATAAAGGTAAGACGCCAGTGGGTGAAGGCAAGCATGATACACACCCAGGGCTGGGCGAGGGTGGCACTCCAGCTCTCCCGAGCTCTCACCGGCTCCGGGAAGGCCGGGGGCGAAGGCCGCCGCGGGGTACCGCGCGGCCACGCCCTCCGCCGTGGACGCCCTGGCGGGGCGCGCAAGGCCCCCTGGGACCGGTAGTGCTGGGCGTGGCCGCGGGACTACATATCCCAGCGGCCCCCGCGCCGCGGCTCCAGCGGCTGCCGCCTCAGCCCCTCACAGCGACGGCGGCGGCCGCGGCGGAGTCGGTGGCGGTGGCTGCGGGCTGAGCGGCTAGTTTCCGACTTCAAGCTGAGCTGCGAGGAAAATGGCGGCGGGAGGTGAGTGGAGATAAAGGAGGCGGCGGCCGGCGAGGGGTGGGTGCGAGGCGGGGGCAGAGGGCGCGGCGCCCGGGCTGTCGCGAGCCGCGGCTCGAGCTCGGGCTCGGGCTCCGGCGAGGCGCGGAGGGGCGCGCCGGGCAGCTCGGGGCCACGCCGCTCCCTCAGCCTCCGCAGCCCGCGCCGGCGGACGGGAGCCCGGGCGGGGCGGGCGCGGGTCCCCGCGTCGAGGGTCGCCGCGGAGTTGGGGGGGTCCCAAAGTTTTGTCCTCCCGCCGCCCTCGCGGCGCTGGGCTGCGCCCCGGGCTCCGCGCCCCTCCTCCGCCCGCCGCGGCCCCCGGGCTCGGGGCGCCGCGCAGACCCCCGCCCGCCCTGCCTCCCGCCGCGCTCCGAGTCTGCGGGTCCCGCGGCGCGCTGCCTCCCGCACTCGGCGGCGGACTGGACCGGAGCACGGAATTTCTGCGGAATTTCCATTTTGGGCTCGGGCAGGTTCTGGGCAGTTTCCTCAGTAAGGAGGCGTTTTACTACCCTGCCGCTGGCCGGCAGGCTGGGCAGCGGGCATTGGCGGGGTCAGCTTTGCATTGGCCACCTCATTACCTTTTGCCCTCCTCGCGGCCAGGCTCCCTTGTTTCGTTGGTTCAATTTGTGACTCGCACTTGCCTTAAAAAGGGGCCGTGGGGGCGTTGGGAGGCTTAGTTGCTTCCCAGGCATTTGGAGGGCATCTGGAGGGGGGAAGTGGACCCGAAGAATAGTTAGGAGAGGGACTGAGCATCTCGAAATCGCTCTTGGCAGGAGGAGTTCAGGACTCGCAGATGGAATGACACGCAACGGGTGAAACTCGCTCCAAGTCGAAACTGCCCCCCACCCCGGGCAAGACTTCCTTTTTGCAGTTTTTGAGCAGAGCCTCAAAGCCAACCTGTTTTTGTTATTAAGCCTGTGCCCGTAAAGAAACAGGAAGGCGCGTAACAGCTGTCTTGCTGCAGTGGTTTTCCGCGGAGTTGAATGAGATGAGTGAGGGTAGTAGTGTGGAGTGCGATTGCTGCATCTCCTTGATTTAAATGCCTGCCCTCGGCTCCAACTAACTGATGTGGCTGCAAGAAAGCGTTTTTGTTGCGGCAGGTTGTTTAAAAAGATGATTGGGGGAAAAATAGATCTTGAGCGAATGCTGCCTGAATTAAAATGTTAATGGAAACCTGTAAGTTCGTGAACTGTTCTTTAAAAAAATTTCAAATTACTGTTAGTTTATTTGGACATATAATATACAACTGAATAAGTACAAAAACATTGAGAAATCAATCTCTTCCCCTTCAAACCCTATAATTCCCCTTCGGAGGCAGTGACTGTTAATCATTTTCTAGAGTTATCTTTGGTTTTCAGGCTAATTATTTGAAATTTTTTATTTGAAACACAGCATGTTGGATACCCAAAGCCGGGAAATAAAATGAACAGAAGGAAAGGGAAATGTGGTGGGAACGCTGTTTTCTTCTTTTTATTGTCTTTAAAAATGTTGGTAGCTATTGGAAAGGTTCTTCTGAACTTACTGTGTTTCTTTATTTACTCATATCTTAAAAGAAATAACAGTCTTTCAGTATTTAGGATGAAGAACCCAACTAGGGTCATTGTTTGTATGTAAGATAAAGCCTCTGTAAAATGTAAAATGATATCGAACACTATAGCTCCTGACTCTGGAGGTTACTTCAGGTTCTGCATTTAAATGAGTAGTAATCTAAATTGCCTGTGATCCTGAATTGTAGGGGATTTTCTATACTGGTAGAAATGACTAGTTGTCCAATGAGCATCAAAAAACCAAAAAGAGGCATATGCCAGCTTTTGGCATATAGAAGTAGATTTTGGAGTTGGGGATTGTGGACTAAGTGGGGGGCTGTAATTGTTTCTAGAGCAGTTATATGAACTGCTTCTACCAGAATATCCCTTTACTATGGAGGCTTTGAAAATACAAAGTTCAGCTTAATCAACAAAGTTTCCATTTTTAATACATTTTAGAATATTGTTTTAAGAATTTATTAACACGGTTTGTTGATATTAGATATCACAGTTCAATGATATTAGAGCTAGGTTATTAGGAATTAACATTACATAACTTATGCGTGTATGTATCTATATTTTTTTGGGTGCTGCGGATTGAACCCAGGGACCAATACATGCTAAGCAGGTGCTGTATTGTTGAACTACACCCCATTCAATTTCACTATATTTTGAAAGTAATTGTATTGTGTATTTCGCCTGGTATAAAAATTAATTCTGGGCTGGGGATGTGGCTCAAGTATGCTCGCCTGGCATGCGCGGGACGCTGGGTTCGATCCTCAGCACCACGTACAAATAAAAAGATGTTGTGTCCGCCGAAAAACTAAAAAGTAAATATTAAAAAATTCTCTCTCTCTCTTTAAAAAAAGAGATTAAAAAAAAAATTATTTCTGTGAAGCAACCCCATCCCAAGCAAATAAGAATTCATGCAGTAAAGAGTGAGTGTACTGTTGAACCCTAGATCTTTTTTCCCCTCAGGAGTTGTATAAAGTTCTTGAAATGGTTGCTAATTAATGCCTTCTTTCTTCTTGCTTTTTTTTTTGAAGGGGGGGGGGTTACTGGGGATTGAACCCAGAGGTGCTTTCCACCAAGCCACATCCCTAGCCCTTTTTATTTTCATTTTTTTGATTTTTATATTTTGAGACAAGGTCTCTCAGTTGCTTAGTGCCTCACTAAGTTGCTGCTGTTGGCCTTGAACCTGTGATCCTCCTGCCTCAGTCTCCTAAGTGTGCCACTGTGCCTGGCTGTTTTTTATTTTGAGAAGTTGCTTAGGGCCCTACCAAGTTACTGAGGCTGGCTTGGAATTTATGATCCTGCTTCAATTGCCCAAGTTGCTGGGATTGTAGGTGTGAACCACCATACCTAGCACTAATGCCTTCTTGACAACTATCTTTTGAAATTAAAAAAAAAAAAAAAAAAAAAAAAAATCTCTCTTTTTTTTTTTTTTTTGCTATGTCAGGGACATTACATTAAAGAAAAAAATAGTTTATTTCAGGTACTGGGCATTGAACTTAGTGGCACTGTACTACTGGACTACATCCTGGGCCTTTTTATTTTGAGACATGATCTCCCTAAATTGCTGAAGCTGGCCTCAAACTGTGGTTCTCCTGTTTCAGCCTCCTGAGTTGCTGGGATTTTAGGTATATGCCACTGTGCCCTGCTGTAATTTTTGAAAAAGAATAATTTATTTTTAAAAGAATAATATAGGGGGCTGGGGTTATGGCTCAATGGTAGAGTGCTTGCTTAGTTTGTGTGAGGCACTGGATTTGATGCTCAGCACCAACTATAAATGAATTTAAAAAAAAAAAGTCTATCAACAACTTAATAAAGAAATAATCTAGGTCCGGGGTTGTAGCTCAGTGGTAGAGAGCACTTGCCTAGCACATGTGAGGCACTGAGTTCCATCCTTAGCACCACATTTTTTAAAAAAGTAAAGGTATTGTGTCCATCTACAACTAAAATGTATGATATGTTCAAAATATCTTTTAGTTTGGACAGTAGGGTAAGATGGAAAACAAAACAAAACCCAGCAACCTACTATTGTCCTATTCCTAATTGGTTGTTAAGAAAAAAGCCCAAAACTCATTTATGTTGTTTCTTTTTTAGTACTCCAGTACTCAGATCCCAGGGCCTCTCACATTATGATGCTACAGAGCATTGGGCAATACTCCCAGCCACCCCTATCCTTCAAATTTTATTTTTTAAAAAAGGGGGAGTCTCATATTCACTATTCTCATGCCTCAGCCTTGGGGTAGCTGACATTACAGGCAGGCAATAGGACTTCTTTTTTAAATTTTTTTTTTTTAAATTTTTTTTAAAGAGAGAGAGAGAGAGAGAGAATTTTAATATTTATTTTTTAGTTATCGGTGGACACAACATCTTTGTTTGTATGTGGCGCTGAGGATCGAACCCGGGCCGCATGCATGCCAGGCGAGCGCGCTTGAGCCACATCCCCAGCCCAAAATATTTATTTATTTATTTATTTATTTTAGTTTTCGATGGACACAACATCTTTATTTTTTTTTTTTATGTGGTGCTGAGGATCGAACCCAGCACCCCACGCATGCCAGGTGAGTTTAAAAATTTTTGAGCTACATAATTTCAAACCTTGACCAGAGGATGTAGAGTACTTTTGAAAACTTCTAATTTGTTGCATGTTTACAACTAGTGTAGCCTCCAGTGGCTGATTGTCTATATAGCAAATTGGCAACAATTTAATACAGTTGTTACTCTGTTAATGCTTCCTGGGACCAGTAAAACAGAGTTGTGGGTTATTGAGAAGTTGACTACAGTTTCTCATACATTAAGCTCTGCAGAGATACCTGTACCATTTTAGTTGAATTTATTATACTCCATAGTATATTATAGAATATTTCTTTTTTGCATTATTTAGTGGTGGAAACTCTGGGAGCAGAAAATTAGCATTGGTAATATATGATTTTTTTTTTTTTTTAAGTTCAGCAGACTGGAAGAAAAAGGTGACTAGATTCTGAGGGATAGTTTTGATATGAGTGCTGCAGTTTAATGTTGGCATTTCTTCCATTTTTATGAGTGCTTTTTGGAATGGGGGATTACAAAATGAACATTTAACGGTTAAGGTGAAGGAGGAGATGTGCTGTAATGAGGCTTATTCATCAGTTTGTTAGTGTTTGCCGGGTAAATATCTTTATTTATTGTTTTTCTGAGAGGGTTTATGGGAGATTATTTTGGGTTTAGACTACAGTTTATTTACTGTCTAACCTTATTTTCAACCTCCTAACAAATAATGGAATTAACTTTTCTGCCATCTAGTTGTTAAAGGAACAGAAAAATGGCCAGAATATGTACAGCAGTAGAAAAGGAAGACCTATACTGTCTAGAAAGGCCAGTTTAGTCACAAACTAAATAGTATTAGACAGCATATTGCCAGTTTCTAATTTTGTCAGCATTAGCTTAGTTTAGGATAATTTTTGCTGCTCT